TTTATATTATAAAGTAATTAATTTATTCTTTTGTTTTTATATTTTGTTAATTCTTTTTTGTAAATATTTTATTTGAAATATTAAATAGAAATTATTAATGGAATAATTTATATTAATATATTGTATTATAATAATATAATATAATATACTAATATATTATATTATTAATGTACATTAGTTGACATCTTGTCAACATAATAGGAAAAATGGTCTTTTTTTTTGTTATTTGGACCGATTTGGTCGGCATTTCCAAAATATAGGAAATGTTGACCGAAACTGCACAGGAACTGAAGCACACACCATATGACTCCTTGCTACTTCCACAATGTGTTTGTTTTTCCTCTCAGCAACTCCATTCTATCGCGGTGTATATGCACAACTGCTCTGATGAACTACACCATGTTCTAAGAGATACGTGGTCAGGTCTTTCTCAAAGTACTCTCTAGCATTATTTGATCTAAAAACCTTAGTTCTCACTCCAAATTGTGTTAGAACCATCTGGTGGAACTGTCGTACCAAGTTATGAACCTCATCACGTGATCTCATCAAATATATTCAAGAATATCGTGTATAATCATCCACACACAAGAGAAAGTAACGGAATCCTCCCATGGAAGAGATATGATATGGCCCTCATACATCAGTGTGAACAATATTAAAAGCAGAAGTATTTTTATTACTTGGTTTAAAAGACCGTTTACAATGCTTTCCTAACTCACAACTCTCACACTCCAAAGTAGATAATTGAACAGACTCAAACAACTTTGGGAAAAGACATTTTAAAGAACTAAAAGAAAGATGTCCCAAGCGATTCAAAGCATAATCTGATTCACTGACTCTGACCCACTACTATGCTGCTGCTAACATAATGGCCCTGATGTCTCGGAATCTCATCCAGAAGGTAGACTCCATTCACCTCACGACCACTCTCAATCATTTTCTTTGACTCTAGATCTTGCAAAACACAATTACCAGGAAGAAAGGTCACAGAGCAATTCAAATTTTTTGTTAAAGAACTAACAGACAGTAGGTTGAGGGACATGTAAAACAGAAGACAGAGTTATATCATTGGTCACTCTAATTGTCCCCTTCCTAGCAATGGGCATATGTGAACCATTTGCTGTAGAGACTCTGTCTCCACCAAGGCACAACTGATAGGAACTAAGAAGGGTAGGGGCATTAGTCATGTGCTCAGATGCTCCTGAGTCTATAATCCAGGGAAGTCCCTCCTTACCTGAAGTGGATGCAAGATTTGCAGTTGCATATGAACTACCTGTATGTGCAAAGGAAGTTGTGTAGTTGGCTCTTGCATTTTGCTGTCCATCTGGAAGGTTAGAGCTAGGTGAATCTTTTTTACTCATAAGCTGTCCAAACCTCTCCAATTTTGTTCCCACTATTGCTATTGCAATGGATTCCTAATCAGTTTGGGAAAGAGGGGCCGAAGAGTCTCCTGTAGTGGTTACATTTGCATTTCCCTTCTTGTTCCTTATCCGAGAAAGCATAAGATTTGGATGAAGCTTCCAACAAGTGTCCCTGGTATGCTTAGGCTTCTTGCAATAATCACACACCAAGTCCTTATCTTCTCTTTTAGTCTCACTACTCCCCCTATCTCCGTTCAACTTAGGTTTTGTTATACCAACCATAGCCGACTGGTCAATCCTAGGCTATCTCAGCATTACATTCCTCCTACTCTCTTCTCCAAAGACAAAGGCATAGGCTTGAGAGAGTGTCACACCCTCCCTAGAAAGAATATGCTGCCTAGCAATGTCAAATTCAGGGTTCAACCCTGCCAAGAATTCAAAAGCCCTATTCCTCTCTACTAGTCTATGATGAGTTGCTGCATTATTTGCACTTTCCCATACCACAGTTTCTAAGTGATCTATTTATTGCCATAGGGTTTTTCAGCATGGAGAAATATACAACAAGAGGTTTTTCTCCCTGTTTCATACTTATCACCTGATTTCTTAACTGATAGGCTCTGACTTCAAGAGTAGGTTTCAGTCACTCCGTCCCAAATATCCTTAGTAGTATTAGCCCATAGGAAATTTTTTGCAATGTGAGGTAACATAAAATTACACAGCCAAGACATTACCATGTAATTCTCCTGCACCCATCGGGAAGGGTTTGTATCAGGTTTCTTCTCCTCCCCATTGAGATACCCTAATTTTTCACAGGCACCAATAGCCATCTTAGCTGATTGTGCCCACTCCAAATAATTTGTACCATCAAGTTTTACTATAGTAATGATCCCAAACCAAAAAATATCACTACTACCTCCAGCACCTAGTCCCACAGTACCGGTAGATTTCATCTCGGTATTCCAACTCTCCATCTTACTTCAAACAGTTCAACAGTAAGAAAAAATAGATTGGAGACCTTTAAAAAATAGTTTAATATCACACACATAGGAACCAACCCTTATGGAAGAAGAAAACCCTAGCTGGAGAGAAATCTCTCTCCTCCCCACGCCTCCCAACCATGGTTCAAAGTATCGATACGATATGCCCCGTATCGGGCGTATCGTATCGTATCTTTTGAAAACGATACGGTCTGAAACGCTTGTTTCCAAGTGTTTCGGCCCCCAATTTTTTAATAATAAAAAGCATGCTAAAAGCTTCCCAAAAAACCAAAATTTGAAAAAAAAACTAAAAAA